AAGGAAAGTGTCAATAAGAAAAATCTGACAAATATTGCTGAAATGAAAGAAGGGGTGGTCCAATATTGGGACAGCATGGACCACGACTTTCTAACTTCTTTGATCAGTAGTATGCCCCGCCGCATTGAAGCCTGCATTGCTGCCCATGGTGACTTGACAAAATACTAACTGTTCACCTGTCTTTGAATCTGGAGTTATGTTCTGCTAATATTAACATTTAATAATGTTTTTCAGGAAGATGGAAAATGGCACAAACATATTGATTATCTTGTCCGTAAAGTGAGCCCACTAATTAATTGCTTGCGTAGTCTAAAATACAGGTTAAATCGTAGAACGCTTGAAATTATGTACAAATCTTTTATCTTACCCATATTTGACTACTGCGATAACATTTGGGATAATTGTAACAACGAACAAGTAAAAATGCTAGAAAACCTACACTTGGATGCTCTTCGAACAATATGTGGAGCAGTACGAGGAACTAGTCACGAAAAGCTTTACAGGGAAACGGGTTATTGCTCATTGTCTGACAGACGACATTATCATAAATTATATATTACAAAATGGTCAATGCTCTGACTCCTAAATACCTATCATTATGGGTCCCACCTAGTATCTCCAGCATAACAGGATACAACCTTCGTAACTCCAACGATTTTCAGACAAATGCAGGGCGCTTATCCCAGTATAACCGATCTTTCCTGCCTTCTGTTGTTAAAGCATGGAATGCACTTGATATTAATATCAGAAATGTAGATTCCCTATCTAGGTTTAAACAATTGATTTCCACAGACATTCAGATTTCTTCAATTTTATATACATTGCTAGTTATGGCCAGCGACAATACCAAGTGATCCTATCCAGAATTAGGCTAGGTTGTAGTGATTTAAAAGCAGATGGTTAGAGAAGACTCTCCATGTACCACCCCTTGCAAATTGTACATGGATATTTGATACGACCCCATAGTTAAAACAACAACGGATTAGTTCAGCAACCGTAACATGCCGGCATTCCGGGGAGTAAACAGCTTTAACCACGTATGTGTGTGAGAGTGAGCGTTAAAGCGTGTGTTTGTGTCCGAGTGTGTGTATGTTATAAGGCAGTGCATTTCATTGTAAGAAGGCTTTGAAATTACATTGTTTCTATTGAAATTCTGTAGTAGAGGTTAATGTCGTTGTGCTTTAACAATAGTTATTTGTTAGAAAATGTATTACCCTCAGCTAGGTGTCAGTAGTTGTCGCTTTTACTGGATGCTTTTGGACTCGGGCATGACCTAGAATCTTCCAAGACAGTAGAGCCACGCATCGTATGAAATATGTTACGACTTTATAAAAAAGCTATCATTTATATCTCTAGAACCAGCATTCAGTAAAGCCACATTAATCCCTTTGTCCATTCTAGTTGTTCCTGCTGTCATAACATAACCGTCCTTGATTACTATTAACATTTTACCGACCAATCAAACATCGCCTGAACGTAACGGGTAAGGGAGGTAACTTTTATCAAGAAACCAAAACCAATGCTCCTTTAAGTGGACGTGTGGAAATCGTTTTATCAAACATGGTTTTAGAGCTTTCTTTTGCGCGCTAGTCAGTTTTTAATATTTCATTTCTTGCTTTGAGGATGGGTAATTTGATATCGCGATAACGTAAATCCAGAACGTGTAATCTGATATCACGAGAGCCTAAATCAAGGGCGGGTAATCTGTTATGGGAAGGGATGCAGGATTGGTGTAGGATTACTGAAATACTAGCCCCGGGGACACAGAGAATGATGCTGAATGGACAAATGTATCCCTCTAGCATCCGTCACCTAACATCAAACCCAGCGCTCGTATGAAAATCGATGTTTCCACCCTCGATATCCACCCCAGGCCTATTTTGGAAACTTGTCTTCTGTAATATGACTAACTTTTTACTGCTACCATTCCCATTGTATTTCATACTCCTGTTGAACTTTGAACGTCCACCCTATTGTGTCCTGTCGCCATAAAAACTTCGCAGTAATTGATATAGGTTTAAAATAAAACGTCACAAATTAATTTTGAAAACCATTGTCCAAAAAACGTTCCAAGCTGTGGATAGTTGACGACAAAAGATTTTACACAATCATTTTTCATGGATATATATTTAGTATGAAACAATGGAGAAAGTTTTGAATTTAAACTATGTCGCACATAGGCGAGCGGTCGTCCAAGGTCGAGAATACTATTCATTTCTCAAAACCCATGTTTTGTTAACACAAGCTGCCTTTCAGAAAGTAGTCAATATGTAATATATGTGCTCGGCAAAGTAAAGATTCAAGTAATGGTGGTAGAAGTTGAAAAGGGGTCTTTTATCCAAGTTTGACCTTTCTGAGTGAGTTTTGTTCTCTTAGAGTGATACATCAATGAATTTTAAGGTAAAGGATGATTGGTGATACATGTGGTCTCACCTTAGAGAGAAAATTGGGTGAGCAAAGTTATGTGCCTCATGTGACTACTAACCTTCTACCGCTTCTAGGTTATCCGGGATAATAATAATCAGATTCTGATTACAGCGTCCAGTGAACAACTAGTCAGATGGATACTAGGCGCTATATAAATGAATTATTATTACTATTATTATGTTTTACAGATTACAAATTGTATGCAGCAAAGAGGGTTCGGGTGATCCTGGAACAGTCAGGCTGGCTCATCATCAGCTCAGGGCCCTTGCCCCCTCTACACGCAGCCCAGTGGGACTTCTCCCAGGAAACGCTGCCTAGTCGAACCCACCAAGAACTTTCCGGATTATATTTACTAGACTCCCGAACACTGCAGCCTTCTGCATTGCCCAGAGTGTCAAAAGGGCTGTGCTCCCTGTGGAGAACCCGGGCATTCTCCTGATCTGCGCCAAGACGTCAGGAGGTACCAAACCAAGGGCACCGAGAATAATGGGGAGTCTGACGACAGTGTACTTGGGATGCAAGCGAGACATATCAAAGGCGAGGTCCGCATATTTAGCATGCTTTTCCTGAATCTTGCCAATCACATTGCTGTCAAAAGGGACAGAAAATTCAATAACATAAATATATTCATTGCCTTTATCAAAAAGGACAAGATTAGGTTTGTTGGGAGGAATTCTTCTGAGTCGGTGTATAGGCCTGTTCCAAAGAAGTTTAAAGCTGTCATTTTCCATGACGCCCTGGACATATTCAGGGTCATACCATGGATGGACTTCGGAGTCAAAACCACAGGCATGGCGAAGACCGTAGTAGAAACAACGAGCCATGCCATCACGTCGTTAAAGATCTAGATATGCTGTTTGTGCCAAGGAAGGGCATCTACTGACAAGGTATTGGACAATCTCTGTAAATTCATTGCATAATCGACATTTCATGCTAACATTTTCTTTTAGAATTACATTTAGGCGATTGCGAGTGGGAAGTGACTGGTCCTGAGCAGCAAAAAGAAAGCCCTCTGGTTCACATTTAAGACCAGTCGAGTTCATCCAGGCGAAGGAGTCAGTGTGATTGCTATTCTGTTCCATACACTGCATATATACACGATGCAGTGGTTTCTCAGAAAGCTTCTCCACAAAAGACCGACTCTGGGCATACTTGGTGAAGGACTTCACCTGGTTTACTCCCATCGCTGAACCGTCCAGCAGTACATCGCCATCAACAAAATCAACCTGAAATTTCAGATTCTGTCCAACAACCTTGGCACGCTTAAAATAGCTGTGGAATTCCTTGCTTTCATTGCGAGTCTTGACATGTATCACCATAGGAGCATCCGATAAATAAATATGTGCAAAAGTACACAATAAATTTCTATCATGAAGAGCCTCCACATTAATCAAACCCCGACCTCCAGAATTGAATGGCATATATAAATGATTAGGAGAGGAACGAGGGTGGTGGGCTCTGTTATCAGACATAATCCTTCTGGTCAGGCGATCAAGACTCTGGATGGCTTGTTTGGTCCAATCAACAACTCCAAAGGAATAGGAAAGGACTGCCACAACAAAAGTATTGGTGGCTTTGACCTTGTTTCGAGCATTTAGTCCTGAGCTCCAAATGCGAGATTTGTACTTGAATCTGTGCATTCTGGATTATTATTATTATATATATATGTTTTCTCAAAATTTAAACATCAAACATTTATAGTTGGCCAGGCCTATCTATTGTTGCGAGTTAAAATTGTAGTGAGGCAGGTTCTATATAGCCATTTCAGCAATGTTGCTCCAGAGAACTCTCTGAAGTTTAGTTGTCAGTTATCTTGTACTCTCTCCGGTTTGTCTTGCCAGATTTGATTAGCTTCAGTGCCGTGATAGTAAGTGAGTGAGTGAGTTTAGTTTTACGCCGCACTCAGCAATATTCTAGCTATATGGCGGTGGTCTGTAAATAATCGAGCCTGGACCAGTCAATGCAGTGATCAACAGCATGAGCATCTATCTAGGCAATTGGGATACTATGATATTTGTCAATTAAGTTGGCCTGACCACCCGATCCCGTTAGCCTCATCTTACGACAAGCATGGGTTACTGAAGATCAATTCTAACCCGGATCTTCAGGGGTCTGCCGAGATAGTGTTGGAATACTGTTTATTGCGACGTAAAAATACATGCTTAATACTTCAAATGAAGTAACCGTACCTGGTGTTGTTGTAGGAACAGCCGAAGTAGAAGTGTCAGTTGTAGGTAATGGTGTTGAAGTTGTTTCAGTTGTTGACGACGCTGACGAAGTGCCAAGCAATGTTGTCGGTGGGGATTCTGACGTAACCGACTCGAGTCTTGTAGATCGGGATGTTTCAACTCCAGTAGTTGATGTCGATGTTAGTGGGGTTTCTGGTGTAACTGCCTCAAGTCTTGTAGATATGGATGTTGGAACTCTGGGAGTTGATGTCGATGGTGGTGAGGTTTCTGATGTTATCGCCTTGGGTGTCAAAGACACTGATGTAGTATCTGCAGCAGATGATATCGTTGGCGCTGTTGATGGTGCAGCTGTTGTTCCGGGTGTGGACGAAGCGGGACGTAAAGTCGTAATATCCAGTGTAGCTACTGATGAGGCAGGGGATGTTGTCGTTGAATTTGCCATTGAAACAGTCATTGTTGTGGATGACACGGTTTCTTGTAAGGAATCTGGATTGGTGTAGAAGGTACAGAGATTAGATAAGTAGGTCTTTAATTTGTTCATGCTGTAATCACCCAATAATGTCAATGTGATCCTTTTTTTTGTATATTCTTTATGTAAAAAATATTTCTTGTATAACTGTGTTTTTAAAAAAAAAAGAACTAAACTCATTTTCGTATCCTTTTATAGAATGCTTCTGTTGGAAATTCGACTCCATTCACTTTTAACAAATTTGAAAACAAAACAATGTTCTGCAAACTTCAACAATGAACAGATAAAGAAAATAATCTCTCGTTGTATCTTGGAAACATCTTGATTTAAAGAAAGGTATCTGGAAAAAAGAATTTTTAGGGAAATATCTCAAGTGGTTTAGGCCAATAATTGGATTCAAGCTACCCTGATTTGTCATACCTATAGTCCCACAGTTTATATGAGCAATAACGTTTGTTTTCAGTTAATGCGACTTTAAAAATGGACACATTTCTTGTGATCTTTCGTACAAGGAGCAAACTAACCAGAATTAATCTAATTATATAGTGAATCTGTAAGTCGAATTTCAGGTTCATCGGATTCTGATATGAACAAGGGGCACAACTCTGGACAGCGACTACTTAGCTTACGGGTCACGCGTGTCCTTAGTGGAAGTGAAACCTCACCCACTCTGACGTAAATAATCTATTTATGAAATCTTTAGAAATGTAAGTGACGAAAACCTTTCCACTAATCATAAAATCTCCGTTGAGTTCGTTGTTAGATTCCGATGTGAATAAATCATTACTTAAGATTCATTGTACCAGGTTTTCGCGAAAGCTGAGTGGCTCAATCGAACAGTCTAATCGATGATAAAGATCGATATTCACACAGATGTTAGGTCTGGGGGCTTAGTGGTTCAAGCGTTCGTTCGTCACGCCAAAGACCCCGGTACGATTCTGCCCATGGGTACAATGTGTGGGGCCGATTCCTGTTTTTCTGGAATTTCTTCAATTGCTGGAATATTGCTAAATGCGACGTAAAACCATATTCACTCATAACTGAATGGATATATAATGCCCATGTGAACCGAGGATGATTTACCTGTGGAAATACAAAGGGATGTCCGGGCCTCAGTTACCGGGATACATGTTTCATCATCGGCACATTCCCGGCAGATGCTTCGTGCTGCAGCAGCCTGAAAAGGGGAAGAGAAAGGTTTATGCATATCTAAAAAATACGTAGCATAATACACAGGGTTATGCACATGAAACAGACCTTCTAGCTTTGCGAGGGAAATCTGCGTCATGTGCATTTGAATAGTAGTGTTTAGCCAGTTTTAATTATGTTTTTTCTTCTCAACTTATCCGGATAATCCGGATTTATATACCTAAGTGATCAGCTCGTTAGGTCTATCGGTATACCTGGCTTATAGACTGGTACATTCAAAATGAAATCAGATATATATATTTATTTTATTTTATTTTTGGAATCTGCATAGACCATGAGGGTAATTTCGTCATTCTGTAGACGCCGTTTCAGAGCTAAAAGGGTCTCATCCAATCGGACATATTTCCTTCTCAAAAACTGATCTCCCATCTCTGTTGTCTGGAATTCTGGTGGTATGACAAGATCTTGTCTGCTTGTTGGAAGTTTTGGCTGAGCGAATCTTCTTGCTCTGCGGAGTGTCATTCGATGGGACTCGAACGTTGGCATGGCAGACACTGCTGGATCTCCTCTCATCTTGTTGATCTCTTCATCGAATAGTGATGGCATTGGCTCGAAGGATGACTTCGCAGTAACCTTCATGTTTGTACGAACCTCTTTTGCCTTTTGAACACGGTCCATTGTAGGTGAGAGGTGTCATTTTGAACACGGTTCAATGTAGGTGAGTACCTACTCATGTAGGTGATACCTGATTGATCAGTATTCACTAAGTTGATTAGTCAATCAAGAAATCTCATCTTTATGCCACTAAACAAACACCAATCAGTTGCAAGACCAGATCGGTGAACATAAAAGGGAAAAAGGTCTGCCTCATGTCCATAGTTTGAAACCTACAGGTCTGCGTCATGTGCATAATAACGATGACGGCGCCTCTTGGCAATCTGTAATGATCGATGTTTACAAGATAAATCAGTCCGTAATCTTGAGCAGTTGTATATCCTAGTGGACAACTCGGGCCCAACGCAATCTGTGACGTCTGTGTTCAGAGGGTCTGTAGGCTCTGATACCCGAAGACGCCTAGCCACCGTATATCAACTGACACGGTGATCAAGGGAATTCGTCGCTGATGACGTTACCATGAGGAAACGGTTTCTCAGGTGTAACGTCCTCAAATGCCGGTCTTCGGCTGGTGTTGTTACTCGCGGTCTCCTACTTCTTGGTCCTGTACTTGGCCCGTCTGCCTGTAACGTTGCAGCAGTCTAGTGACGGCTACACGGGTGCAGCCGAAGGTTCTTGGTGAGCCGAGGTGAACTTGGGTCTTCGGGCTGAGCGGACGTGTTTTTATGAGCTCCCGCTCTGTAAGCTTACATGGTGACCTATTTATATAGGAAAGAAAGAAAAGAGACAGAAACGAAAGAAATTATCAGACAGTTCTGTCGAAGAAGATAGCTCTAAAAGACGCAAGGAATGTGAAGATAGTGACTTTTCACTAGAATACCTGAGAAACATGGCGTTCTACTCAGGATTACCTGCCCAAACAGTCAACCCGATCATTGGACTGACCTACGGTCATCTCCCTCAGTCACCCCAGTATGTAACCCCCGTAACACAGATGTCCAGTCCCCCAGACCAGCAACCATGGTGGGTTGAAAATCTCTTCAAAAGACTGGACAAGATGGATACCAGGCTAAAGTCACTGGACAAGATCGAGTCGTCAATCAGTCAGTTATGTAACCGGATTGACTCGCTGGAGACAGATGTAACCATTCTGAAGACGACAACAAAGAGCATTGAAGAAGCGGCTGTCTTTCGAGACAAGGAGCACGAGGAAGTGAAGAAAGCTGTACAGTCATTTACAAAGGAAGTCAATGTGATCAAGCAACAGCTGAGTGAAGTGAAAGGTGATCCAGCTGGCCAGTCAGAAGAAGTACGTGAGCTAAAAGAACAGCTTTTAGATGTGCAGTCACGCTCCATGCGAGATAATCTCATCTTCACAGGAATTGAAGAAAAAACCTGAGGAAGACTGTGAAGAGGTTCTACACGAGTTTATAAGGACCAAGTTACGATGCGAGAGAGGAGTGAAGTTCGAACGAGTCCATCGTATAGGAAAACGCTTTCCTAATCGGACTAGGCCCAGACCTATCGCGGCAAAGTTCACAGAATTCAAAGACCGAGATTTCATACGACAATCAGCCTACAAACACCTCAAAGGGACGTCGTTCTACATCAACGAACAGTTCCCTAAGGAGATAGAAGACAGGAGGAAACAACTATACCCTGTACGGAGAGAGGCAGCAAGGTCAGGTGACAAAGTGAGACTCGTAGTGGACAAGATGTACATTGGAGACAAACTGTACGTTCAGGGAGAAGCCGTGTCACACTCCAAGAGCGCCACTCTGAGGAGGAAACACAGCGTGGAGGAACTCAGAACTAGATCATCGACAGCAACATCGTCGACGAGGTAGGACGACGCGGAGCATACGCGAACCACACCTACTCCCAGTTCCCGACTGTGTGGACGTGGTAAGATAAACGTTCTAGTGTTGAATGTATGTGGTTTGAGATCCCGTCTTTTAAACCCAGACTTTGTGCAAAAGATATCCCAAAATGACATTCTGTGCCTATCTGAAACGAAAACGTGTGATGTGGACATTATTAATATTCCTGGATATTCAGTATATATGAATAATAGGATAAATTACCAACACGTCAGGACTTCAGGAGGAATCGTTTTAGCAATCAGTCAAGCAATTGCCAAGCATGTTAGTGTGCTTGATATTTCACATGAGATTGCTACGTGGTGTAAATTATCCAGAAACCTACTTCAGACACAGTGTGATATATATCTCGCGTGTGTGTATATTCCCCCGGAGAACAGCAGATTCGCCTCACTCGACCATTTTACTGTATTAGAGGATGACATAATCAAATACTCGAATCTCTCTGATAATGTCTGCTTAACTGGTAACTTTAACGCTCGGACTAGAGACTTACAGGATTATGTACAATTTGATGAGTTTTTTTAGATCCCTGAGCATATTGATAGTGAAGAGCTTTTTTCTAATGTTCAATCACTTGTAAATCGGAACATTCCGCTTGGTCGTGCACACACAGACAACTCTGTTAACAACTACGGTAAGAAGTTGATTGAGTTGTGTAAGAACACTGGATTGTTCATTGCTAACGGTCGTGTGTTGGTGATGACAAGGACTGTGGGAAGTTAACGTGTAAGGACGCCAGTACTGTTGATTACTGTATTGCTTCTGCTACCGTATTGTCCCACATCGAGACTCTAACAGTGGAAGAGTTTGATCCAGTGTACTCAGATGTACATTGCGGTGTGTGACATTCTCTTTTACGTGCAAACATATGAACACTGGGAATGAGACGAAACAACGAGAAAGTACACCCTGTATTAATGTAAATAAGTTTGATAATAATCTTCGAGATGACTTTGTAAATAATATTGATTTATCTGTTGTAAACACTTTGTGTACATACATGGAAAATGCTAATGATGATGATGTTGCATCATGTGTAAATTCTGTTTGTAATAATTTGTCAAATATGTTTGTTAGCGCTGCTAAGAATACGTTTGGTACCACTAAGGCTAAATCACCCAAAAATTGTAAAACGCATAAACCTTGGTTTAATAGTTTGGATTTAATAAGAACAAATCAAATCGTTCAAAATTCTTGAAAGCTGGTAAGAATTACAGTAAAATTTTGAAAACTTCATTTAATAACTATAAACATGACTGTGCTGAAAAATTACGTAATTCACAGAATTACGACCAAAAATCTTTCTGGAAAGTTTTAAAGTCATTTGATAATCGCACTGAAAAAGCATTAGGTATTGACAAGCAAGAGCTATTTAATCATTTCAAAGATTTGAACGCAGGACAAGCCTGCAAGGTTGATTGTGATATTTGTTTTCATGAAGGTGTGTTACATAAAGAGATTTTAGATTCGGTGATTACAGATAAGGAATTCTTTCTGCTGTCCATTGTCTGAAAAACAACAAAGCTTGTGGGTTAGATAATATAGTAAATGAGTATATTAAGTCATCTATTGACGTTATGTTACCTGTATATGTAAAGCTATTTAATTTAGTTCTTGATGGTGGTGTAATGCCTGAATCCTGGCTTCTAGGTATAATTAAGCCTATTTACAAAAAAAAAAAAGGGATGTTGGGGACCCGGATAATTATCGAGGGGTGTCACTTCTAAGCTGCTTGGGTAAACTATTCACATCCATATTAAGTTATTTCGGCGTTATGAGCCAACCAACTTAATATGGATATAGTTTACCTCTGCAGCTTTGGTTTAGGCTCATAACGCCGACCTTTCGACGAAACTTTACGGTTGAGTGAAATATAAAGGTCGACGTCCTGAGACTAGTTTCATTTTGCCAATTAATAAAGGATTACGAGGACAATGAAGGATCAACTAGTTGTTAGAGGAGGATAATCCGGATTATGCGGATGAGAGCGCACCTAATGAGAAGATGACAGCAGTTTAGATTTTTATCACTTTATTTCCATACTTGAAACACTCATCAACAAGCTCAGTTGACAGATTTTAACATTTTTTACAATGATTCACATAAGCAAATACATGCCATTTTTGATTAATACATCGTAAATTCATATAGCACACATTTTTTCGCAGATTTTAACCCAAATGCAATAGGTGGGATGCTGAATCAGCAAACTGCCCCACGGACAGTGTTCCTTGTTCAAGCTGGGGACAAATGTCATCCAGTCGTCGCTCCAAATCCCTGTATTCCAACTCACCATTCCAACTTCTCATGTCGATAAGGCCTTCTTCGTAGAGGGACTGCATGAGGGTCGAAGCTGCCTTCAGCTTTTCTAGCGTCTCCTTCGCCTACAAAAAGCAAAGAATTATTAACTATTTGGGTCCAACAAACAAAGAATCTGTTATTAAATTCGACAAAACGGTGGCAATTGATTTATACATATATACGAATTTAAACTCTTACCTTAATATCACTCGTGACAGTGTGATGATTG